TACACCGTCTTGGTCTTCCCATCTTCGGTTAGAATGACTAACTTCTTAGTCAAGAGTTGCTGAGTAAGACTCAAAACATGCTCACATTTGCCCATAGATAACAGGTTTCTAGCCGCATAAGTTGGATAATATTGTGGAGAGATTCATTTTGTATGAAAGTGCATGATAAATATATTCGTTGGTTGAGCTCCCCGCAAGACGACGGCCGATTCCGGTTGTTCAGCATCAATGTCGTCTGTAGAACAATGAGAATCGGCTGTCGTCTTCCGGTAAGATCCTCCAACAACTGTTGGCAACATGTCCTTTAACACCAAATGAACGTCTCCTCAACTATCTTATCTTAAGATTTTCATTAACAGTCAATCTATAAGTTGGATTTTTCCCACTCTGGCTTCGGGATTACGCGCCATCGTCACCTGATCCTTCTGCTCAAATGGCCCTCACATCCCGAATTGGCTAAACTGAACTGCAGATTTGACTTTGTGAGACCTGCTCAACTGAATATGGGCAAAATGTGACTTTCACTCTTTCATCGCCGTACACGACAGCTTGGAAATAGCTCTTATTAAATATCAGCCTACTCACTATGAATGTAAGTAGTATGTATGCTTCATAAGGGCGAATCTGTGTCTGAGCCATATCCACGGAGAGGATCAGGCCCGTGCCGACAATCACGTATCTCGGAGCAAACCAACCAACCACCCACCCACACAAGCACACACACACACACACACACACACACATATGTACACACAAGTTGACACGACCGTATCTGGTGTGACTTGGGGAGAGACGAGTCGAGCTGATTGGTTTGCAGACGGACAAGAGTCTGGCGAACGGGCAAGACAGAGGGACGTGGACAATTAATTGGTGCCTCGACAACATCATGCTCTCACCCGCTCTACTTCAGCCCAGCTTCTTCATGCCTTAGACTAGGACCGCTTCGCCCCACCGCCGTCCAGCTCACTCGAGGCATCATCAGCAACAGTAGCAGCTGGCGACGGCGGCTGTTGGTAGAGCGCGAGATGGCCGGGACTCGAAAGACATCTCGATCTCTTTCAATCTCTCTCTCTCTCTCTCTCTCTCTAGTCGTATCGCTTTCTGGCTAACTTTGCGTCAAGTGGCTTCGGACAGTGGGTGTCGCGAGTAAACTTCGTGGGCAAGGCGAACAGAAGCCGATCGATTTGGCCTTAGATACCGACCTGTTGCCATTGCTGACTGCTCTTCTCGAGCCGGGCCGGCAGGTGAGAGAGTGATGCTGTCTGCGGACAGAGTCGTGGAGAGACGGGAAGCAACCTTCATGGTCTGGCGTCAAGATGGTTTCGGCCATTCGGTCAGTTGCTCGGGCGCTCGGCGAGCGGAGGGATTCGGAGGCGTGCGCCATCGCTATGCTCCGGCGTCCGGACACGACAAAGGTGGACAGTTGCAGTTGGACTGACGATTGCGTCGAGAGAGCATGTGGCAACTGAGTTTGACTGCTTGAATGTGTGCCCGAGGCGTCTGAAGAGGCAGCGGTAATTGGTACAATCTGAGATATGAAGAAAAGCTGGCTTTCGAGCAATCCTTTAGTAAAGTGAGGCTAGCATACCGTTCATTTGGTTCGAAAAGCCGGCTGGTAGGGTCGACCTCGTTGTCGCAACTTGGTCTTGTGTTCAGGGAGACCGAGTCTGAAGTCGTCTGCCATAGCAGTTGTCATGATTCCCAGCATCTGACAGTGGACTTGATACATTATCAGACGTTTCGCCGGCATCGTAGTCGGCATCATCAGTGAGACTTGCCGTTCTCCGCATCAAGACACGAACTCGTCAAAGAGACAAGTGAAGTCAATCCCTCGACAAACGCGAGAGTTTGATAATAGGGTAAAGAGTAGATAGATAGACAATGACAGAAAGAGGAGTGATAGTCTAACCGTTA